GTAAGTCAGAAGTGACTGTCAGAGTCTCCCTTGTCTTTTCGGCACCCCACTTCCGCATACATTACTAGTCCCTATGCGACTGCCTGTGAGAGATATGGACTAAACTCCAAGAAATAGCAGGATGAACATATCCCGTAAACCCGATCAATGAATGCTTTTTTATCACAGAAATATCCTCGTTCTGGTCGCCTCGCAGGAAATGGCGTTTTCTGCGCCATTGATTCCAGCATATTTCGGCATGAGAAGAGTCCACGCATCCGAGTGGTTCGCGTGGATGCAGGGGGTCGCGTAATAACTGGACACTTACGCTTGCCTAGTGAACATTCCACTTATTTCCAGCATATTCGAGTTTCCAGGATTTCTCTTGAAGCCTCAAGGACGCGTACAAACGCATGTCGTTTCCATAAAGTGCATGGATTGTTGAACTGTTCAATCAAAGTGCGCTGTATCAAATAGTCAGCTGCAAAAGGCGATCTTCCTCAAACCTCTATACTACTCAAAACTTTTGTCAACACTTTCCGAGATAAATAATTTACCAAGTGAACTTCAATTATGATATATGCCGGTAACTACAGTGCGTGACCGATCTAATGAAATGTTAGCCGAAATTCTGAAATGCGTTTTCGATTAGGAAGGATTCATTTAGTGGGGTTGTAATATTGATAAGCATGCAGCGTACCCCTATAACATTTCGGGTCAACAGGATGTCGGCTTTTGAATGCACCCATTTTGACCTCCTGCAGAAACCGCACTCGGTGAAAAATGACCACTTAAGTAGCATGTATTTCTCCTATTGATTTCCGACGGTCTTATAAATTCAATTATTTTTTATTGAAAACGTGCACAAAATATATTTTCTTTTACTCGTTTGGTAGAAAATCACATTGTCTTTATATTTTATACCCGAAATAGAGTATATTTGGGTTTTAAAAAAGTTTCCCAATTCCCGAATAATTTTGAGTCTGATCTGCCATTGCATTGGCGTTTAGCAATTTCAGTCTACAAGGTGCATGCTTTCCGCGTAAGGAAAATCACATATTCCTATATGCCCTGAAGAAGATACCATATAGAGTTAATAAAATTTCGCAATGAATCCGGAATGTGTTGTACATTTCATGAGGAGCATTGGTAAACGCACATGTGCGGTCCTGTATGCATAGACGTCACACGGTCTTAAAAATCTCCTAATTAGGAACTTTTTCAAAACCCAAATACAAACTTTTTTCAGGTATAAAATATGAAGATCATGCGATTTTCTACCAAACGAGTAAGAGATAGTATATTTTGTGCATGTTTTCTATAAAAATTTTGTTTCCAAACATGGCTCAGGAGTTCAGGTAAAGCAGATGTAGAAACATCCATGTCGTAAGACTGCAAGACGAGGACTCACAATGGCAACGGATGAGATAATGGTGTCAGTCGAAGTCGTCTCTCTTTTCTGGTCCATATCGCTGGATTTGGCAAGGCAATTCAGAGAAGAGCTCCTGCGATCCCACAACGTGGATGTTCCTACATCTGCTTTGCTTGAACTCTTGGATCTTTTTTGAGACAGTTTTTTCATTAGTACATAGATATACAGTAGGTAGGCTAACTCATTAAATGTCAACCGAAATTCCGAAGTGCGTTTTCGTAGCGTTGTAAAATTAGTCAGCCTGCAACATAATTCTGCAATATTTCAGTTATCTCAGGATGTCGGCTTTCGAGCGAACTTTCTTCCGGCTGCATGCAGAAACTACACTCTGTAAAAAATGACTACTTATGTAGCAGGAATTTTTCTCGTTGATTTTCGATGCCGCTAAAAGTCCAATTATATTTCATGGAAAACATGCATAAAAATATTCATCCTCTTGCTCATTCGGTAGAAAATGACGACTTCTTCTAATTTTATACTCGAAGGAAGGGTATAATTCGGTTTTCAAAAAATTTCTAATTGTGAGACTTTTAAATACAGTGAAATGGCCGTTCATAAATCGTCATATCTCAGCACTTACCGATGTGGCTTGTAAAGTTAACAATATGGATCAAATTCACTGCTTAATGTCGTGAACCCTATATGGTCGCCCTTTATTACCGTAGAGAAGTGTGTGCTTTTCCGTACGCGGAAAATATACGGCTTGTAGTTTGGAAACCCTGAATCCAAGTTTAACGGTAGAGCGGGTTCGAAATTATTCGGGAATTGGAAAAGTTTTTGAAAACCGAATCATACCCTCCCTTCGGTAATATGATTGGAAGAAGACCTACTTATCTACCGAATGAGCAAAAGAGTGAATATTTTTATGCATGTTTTCCTTGAAATTTAATTGGACTTTTAGAGGCGTCGAAAATCAATGAGAAAAATTCATGCTAGTTATGTAGTCGTTTTTTATAGCATGTCGCTTTTGCAAGTAGCCGGAAGGAAGTTCATTCAAAAGCCTGCATCCTGAGTTAACTGAAATATCATAGAATCATGTTGCAGGCTGACTAATTTTACAACCCTACATAATTAATCTTTTCGGAACGAAAACCCATTTCGGAATTTCGGTTGACATTTCATGAGTTACCCCACCTACTGTATCAACAGCTGAAGTCGGCTCCTATGGGGGTCATCTATTTCTGGCATTTTGACTGAGGTCAGGATGCAAGCATTAGAGACTATGGCTATACCATTGTTTCACCGCAACCTACATGTACGCTATGTAGATAACACCTTTGTCATCGTCAAAAGGGACCAACTGGTAACGCTGCACAGCGTTAACAATTTAGCACTTAGCACCTATACGCTCGAAAAAAAGAAATTAATAGCAAACTCTCATTTCTTGATGTCCTCGTACAACCAAACGCTAACGGTACATTCCATACATCAGCGTACCACAAAGACGCTTATGCGGATATCATCCTACATTACGAGAGCAACAACCCTATCACCCACAAACGGAGTGTTGTTAACAGTCTACCTAATCGAGCAAATACACACTGCTCTGAGAACGTAGGTTATCAAACAGAGCTTAACTATTCGTCTGACCTATTTATCTGAATTGGCCACCCTTGAGATATCTTACGCCGATGCCTGAGGCAACAGGAATCAAAAGAAAAAGATAAGGGACTAGGTTGCTCCGATCAAGCGTCTGAACCGAAGAATTGGCGAAGACTTCCTTGTATCAAAAATGTGCCCGAACTTGTTCAAAGACGCCTGAGGAAGCACCAAGTACAAGTGGCACACAAACCGACGACTACACTACTTAACCAGCTTGTACACCTAAATACAAGATTGGCCATCTGGATAAAAAAGAATTTGTCTGCAAGATCCCGTGTGACACCTGCAACACAGTTTATTGTGGTAAAACCGGAAAGTCAGCCTCTACACGCCGAAATGAACGCCGACTAACAGTGAGAAGGCGAGACTACCAATCTCAAATCGCAATGTATACGCCATTAACCGGGCGTAAATTCACTTGGGATAAAAATCGAACTGTCGGTCCCCTCCCATATAAGAAAGACCGAAAATTTCTGGAGGCCATGCGGTCAGATGACTGATGCATAAATCAGCACATCGTTTTAGACGCCATGCACACCAATCTCAAAGAAAAGTGGAAAAGACAATAACCAATCAAAACATAATATCAGGCCAAAGCATCTATCCATCGATATCAATGACAAAGCAATACCAATTTCTCCAAGGGTGTTTAACTGTTTTTCACACTTACTGTAGCCTGGCGACGGCCTGGGAAACCAGCGTCTAAAATTTTCGAGGTTTCCCAAAGGACTAATTATATATATGTATATATTCCGTTCATCATCCCCAACAGAAGACGAAGAAGTAAAAGGGGCGATTGCATGGACCACAGTGTATTGGTGCTGACGTTTCGGAAACATCCTCGTTTCCACCATCAGAGTGGTGGAGTGTCTGTTCCTGCTTGCTGGGAGTTGTTCTGTCTCGCCGACTGTCTTGTGTTGTAGGCATGCCTGACGCACGAATTCTGACCTGCCTTCTGGCTGGGGATTGGCTTTAGCCCCTCCTTGGGCGGCCGATGGCGCGCTCCTGTGACCTCTGCCCCCTGACCGGCTGTCGTAATCGCTGAAAATCCTGTGTGCCCATGGGCCCTCAACTCATAATCGGATGGACTGATCAGCTGCCGTTGCATGTGCGAATCACGCTCGGCTGTTTGGGCGCGCCGGTGGGGCGATGTCTCGCATTGGTCGTGTGACCTCCGGCTGGCTCTTTCCCCCTGCTGTGAAGGTGACAACTGTTGGAGGAGCCGCGACTCGCTCGCCAGTACTGTCGGCCCCGTCAGGACTGACTGGAGCCTTGTACGCAGCGCCTGGTAGGCCCGATGAAGATCAATAGCCCTGTTGATTGTGCCAACTGAGGACCAGCCTTCGAGTACCAGCCTAGCCATCTTGTCATGGGCTCGACCGAGGACGCGTGCTTCCCCAAAGGCGAAACTATGTTTCTCCTGTTGCATGTGGCCATTTACCAGTGACAGTTTGTCCTCGCGGTTGACTGCAAGCTGGCGCTCATGCAGCCTTGTGCAGAGGCGTTTCCCCGTTTCACCAATATACCGTGGATTGCAATTTGGCACGGTATGCTGTAGACCACTGCTGATTGTTCCGTTGCCGGTAGCGGGTCTTTGGGTCTCATTATCTGCTGTCTGATGGTGGATTCTGCTTTATGGGCCACCCCAATCCCAAAAGGGTTTAGGATTCTAGCTGTCGCCTCGGAAACATTACTCACGTAGGGGATCGCAAGCCAAAACTTCGGCTTCTCACCGTCGGATCGCTGACGGGTAGTCTTTCGTCGGCATTCACGCATGAAGGATCGTGGGTAACCGTTGGCTGTGAATAAAGAATGCAGATATTTTGCCTCCTCCTTTTTCCCGCCGTCGTCACTACAGTGTGTTTGAACTCGTTGGAAGAGAGTTCTGACACAACTTCGCTTGTGACCAATAGGGTGGTTATTTCGGAATTGGAGGATGCGTCTGGTAATCGTCGCCTTACGGTATACCGTAGTTCTTATCCTCCCACTAACCGTCCTTGCAACATTCACGTCGAGGAAGGGCAATTGGTTGTTGTTCTCCTCTCCCATTGTAAATTGGATGTCGGGGAATATTGAGTTCAGTAAGACCTTGAAGTCCTGAACGTCGTTCCTCCTGATTACGACAAATGTGTCGTCGACACATCTGGCCCAGAATTTTGGGGAGTACGAACGGAAGACCAGTCGTTCTAGCCTCAGCAATCAACCCAGACAGGGGAGACCCTTTCCGTGTTCCCTTCTCCTGCTTGTAAACCCGATCGCCAAAAGTGAAGAAAGTTCTTAGGCACAATTCCAGGAGTTCAGTGATGTGCGTTCGCTTAAGTTGTTGGTCAGCGTCATCATACTTTTCCCGAAGAAGCTCGTCAATTGTGTTGATGGCGAGGCCGGTTGGAATGGACATGAATAATGAGACCACGTTAAACGATACTATCGTCTCATCTGGTTCTACTTCTAGGTTTCTGATGCTTTTCAGGAATTCTTCAGCCGACTCCACCGTCCATTCCGAACCCTCGGTGAGGAATCGAAACCGTTGGTAAGGCCATTTCGAGAGTCCAAAGGTCGAGGTGTCGCGTAGGAAAACTGTGGGGTGTAGGGGGACTCCTGGCTTATGCACTTTTGACAGTCCGTAGAAACGCGCCATGGCGGCATCTGTGGCTTTTGCCGTCAATGCCTCATTTCTTTTGAGTGCTCCTGCCTTCCTCAACTTGTCTATTGCCCTGTTTACGCTATTCACGTGCTTCTTGAACTCTTCAGTCTCCGAAAGCTCATAGGCACCTTCGTCCTCCAACAGACTTTGCAGTTTCGTCGTGTAATCGGTCTTATCCATGACAACAGTCGAGCGTCCCTTGTCGGCGGCCAGGGTGACGATATCCCTCATCTTCCGAATTCTCAAAAGCTCTTGGTCTTCAATTTATATATGAGGCGTGGACTCCTAACTAACAGGTCGCGAGTTCGAACCTCGGGTGTTCCATATATATGCATATATTACATAAGCAGCTTACTAGGAGTGCAGCAGGCCAGACGCAGTTAGCTGTTTCACGGTCATTACCGATCATTACCGTTGCACTCCTAGTGAGCTGCTTATGTGGTATGTGCAGTATGTGTCCTATGACACAACGTCCGTTGTCGTCAGTAGCAAGATGGCAGGCGGACAGAATGGGATCGAGTGAGATCCTAACCACAACAGTGAGGGTCGAACGCTTACTTGACATATGTACGGTGCGTTACCTAACTCATGAAATGTGTCAAAATTTACGAATGATTGCCAATCACTCGCAAACCGACACTATTTCATGAGTCCAATGTCGATGTTGGTTAAGTACAAGTTTAAAAGAATTAAAAACATTAAAGAAATATTAAAGGTTGTATTGCGTTGTTTAGAAATGCCGATTTTTTAAAAAAAAGTGCAATATCTCGAAAACGTCAGAAATGACTCGAATTTAGTAAATTACGTTTTTAGATGTATAGAATGTATTCTCGTGTCGCAAACGTAGTAAATATGAAATTACAAATGAAATAACCTTTAATAATACTGTTTCAGTGAAGCTTACATCTAAATATCGTTTGAGACTTAGTGCAATTTTATGCATGGCGTTTTGTCAACTGCCTACATTCTGAGTGTAGATTCCAAAACAGTTTTCCAGGGGTGCCTGGTATTCTTGACTAGTTTGAAGCATATGAGATGGGGTTCAACAAGAGAAGCTGGATTTTGCTTGAGTTCACCGATGGGAACCCCGTAGGCACAAAAGTTTCCATAAGGTGACATGCTGTCAGGCTGATCGGTGCCTAGTAAATTTAAATAGAACTGACAGGCGTGATCGTAAACATACCATTTTTGTTTATAGAGAGAAATTTTTTTCCGTTAAATTGCTTTACACTTTTCCTTCGTATCGGATTGCGTTGAGTTTCAGATCGGTCTCCAAGTATTGCTGAATACTTCATGATTTTTAGTGTTTTCATCCGATCGTCCATAAAGATAGATTCTGAGTTACCTGCCTGTTAAGAACTTTAAAATAAGATTATTTTTTGAAGGCATTTGCCAATGTAGTGAGTGCTCGGGCGCTCCCTTTCACGAAGATGGTCGTTTGGGTCATATGCGAAGACTCATTCAAACATCAAGCTTCATTTTCGAGAAAAATGGCTGTCCAGTTGATAAAATTCTTTGAGAAAAATACAACTTTTATTGACAAAATTTTTGAGACCGATCTCCTACCTCGTCGCCAGACTGATGCTTCTAAGCAGTGAGATTACTTTAGGCGTTACAGTAATTAGGCCAATCCCGAATTGTAGGAAAAGACAGAAGTTGCCTTGCTTAATTTCCGAGGAAATTAATGCGCGAACTTGGAGTAAATCTTTCGAAACGGGCCTTTTCAGGCACGGTCCAAAGTTTGATATGAATATTTGAGCTGAAATCCATCAGCTACTGCGGAATAACTGCTTAATATTCACAAACCGCCAACAGGCAGCCAGTAGTATAGAAGTCACCAGATTAAAGGATTTGCGGTATACATAATCCCAGATTGTCCTTTTTTGCGACAGTGGCCGCTGACGAGGCTAGGACCTGCGCTGATGGTGCTACTTCGTGCCTGATAAAGGGCGATGTAAGTTGTGACAGCTACTTTAATAAGTCTGCGGAGCAAGCGTAAGTGTTGTCCAATCGGGGTGTGTTGCATTTGCCGGAGTGTGGTGTGCCTTGTGGGTTAGGCTGCATTTGATACGAGGTGTTGCATACAAGTGGCGCATGTACAGCTGCAACTGTGTGGACGCACGTGTCTCCGAGCTGGTCTCTTGAATGGCTGCAGGTCAATGCGTCGACAACCAGTCATTGCAAATGTGAATTAACATGATGCAGCCGATTCCTGAACAAGAACAAGGTTGTCGGCAACAAAACTGGGTGGCGTACAAAAACAGTGAACGGATAAACTGTGTACAACAGCCGATTCTACGGTCGACCGAAGTCTTCGCAAATACACTTTAATTGCATCTCGTCATCCCTTCACGATTTACTATGCTCATTTGAATGTGTTATTAAGGATTTTGTGTGGCATCTAAGTCGATATGCTAGTTGATGCATGCCTCATCTCACTGCACTGTTTCCAGGAATTCACGGCCTTTTCTTATTGGGTCGGTGCCATCAAAGCGAGTTTCCCCATACGCAAATTTGTGTCCAGTGTGCACATGGCCACCCGGGATAGATGATTTCTTCTCACCGCTAACTGTGGTTCGTGCATACGGGCTGGGAGAGATTTCCCACTTTTGCCGTATGACTGGCACACGGAATTTTTCAGACAACACCTTTTCTATCGAGGTAGCAGGCCCCGTCCATAGGGTGCTCAAGCTGTGTGCGTAGGGTAGTTGCTGGTTGGTGTGCTACGTGTATCGGATGTCTCTATATCTGTCTTTCGACTAACTGAGTTATATTTTTCGCGTATGGGGGAGTTCGCCAGGCGATTGCTTCTGGTGTCCGGTCAGCCGTAGCACTAGAAATACTTTCGCTCTTGATTTGTTTGGGCCTTATTCACTGACGTACAAATTCGTGGGGGCACACCAACCTTACCCTGTTAGCGGTGAAGAGAGAAGATCATCTATCCAAGATCGCCATGCACACCCTGGACACTTGACACAAATTTGCGTGGGAGAATACTCGCGTTATTGGCGCCTGCCCAATAAGGAGTGGCTGTGAATTCCTGGAAGCAGTGCACTCAAGTGAGGCATGCATCAATCGGCATGTCGATTTATACGCCAAATACAAAATCCCCAAGTACAAATACAAACGAACACAGCCAATCCCGGAGGGATGGCGAAACGCAATTAAAGTGTGCTAGCGCAGATGTCGGCTCCCCCTAGGATTCTTTGTTAGACACAGTTTATTAACTAACTGTTTTTGTACACCGCCCATAGCCTGACGTCGGGCTGAGGGGCCAGCCTCGAACATGTACGCAATAAAAGAATTTGATCCTTCCTGCTTGATCTTCCTGGAGATACCCATTTCTCACTTTACATATATATTTACATAAACCGCTTTCGTTTTTGTTTGTTGATAGGAAAGAAAACGGCTAGTGCACAACGGATTCGCATCACCTTTCCACAACTCCCAGGCGTCTTCTTCGGAACTGGTGACCTCTTCAGTGCCTTGACCTTAGCGTACCTTGAACGGGATGGTCCAAACCCTGACCTTAAGGTATCTGTTTTACGAGGAATATCAACCTTCTCTTTGCTCGAATGCGTGTATAAGAAGATGACTAAAAGGTTAAGGCCACATTTATCATTCTATTGAGTTAGGCTGCTGTACGACAATCTTGAGTTTCCACTGCGTCATTTTGCTCCTAGCGGACTTCCCGACTGAGCCATTTAGCGGAGTCCGCTCATCCAGACTGTTTTCCTTGCCCTTTAGATGTTTCACTGATATCCCTTAGTCCAAAACGTAAAAGTGATACTTTTTTGTCGATAAGCCTGCATACCAATTTTTTGGATCATACTAGTGCGAATGCAGAAATGATATTAGTTTTTTTTCTGTAAGCCTCTCTCTCCATCTGTTGCATTTCGCATGATCCGCATGTGTACTTTTTCACCACTCAGGCCTTGTTAGAGTAAATTGAGGGCTAGTCATAAGTCTGTCTACGGGCTCGATCCCACCATTTAAATAATCACCGAAGTTCTTACGCTCGCAGTTGAGAACTTTCGCCGTCCGGGCAAAGTAGACCTCCAAAAGGGTATGTATGGTCGGCGCCGAATTTCGTTAAAGACCGACTGCGGTAGTGTTATTGACAAAGACAGGGCCGCCGAAGCGTCCCGTCACCAGCGAGTGATGCATCAACTTCAGGTGCTGGAGTACCGCAGTCAACTAACTGATCTACGGTCAGGGCTCCTGCCTCTGCACCGTGATTCCGCGTCATGTTGACCGGGAGGGGAATAGATCGCAATACTGTAGCCGGACATATTTCACGAGGTTTCTCGGGAGATTTGGATACGGGCGGGTCCCTAACAGCTGCTCGGGTTGTTTGTGCGAGCCTGTATTCTCTAGCGCTTTGGCACAAGAGCCTAATCACAGGGCAGCGGTGGCAAGCAACATTTATTTAATGGCGGTTCACGGTCGCCATCGGGCTTTGCGGCCTTTCTTATAAGGCTTTCCGCGTGCCAGACCTCAGCCCTCCCCATCCTGGTAGCACTGTTGTTGCTGGTCCGCGACTGCTTATTCACCAGACTTGAGAGCCTGCTTATTTCGCAGCTAACCTTCACTGGAAACCGTCCCACTACTCGCAACCTGTGGACACGCCAGGTAGCCAACAGCTAAGCTAACGGCCAACTCGTCTTCTACAAGAAAGTGCAAGTGGCGAGGGGGAAGATCCGATCAAATGAGGGTGACGTGTTCCGATCTGTCTGAATTTCAGTGCAGGACGGATATGAATATTTCCGCTCTGTTCTGGAGCTCATGGTCTGCAACTCTCGCGGGGGATTGGAGGTTGAAAAATGGAAAAGTTTACTTGCGTGGAGTTGCAATACTGGGTGACCATGGAGCTTGATTTATTTACAGTGGACAGATGTGGACATGTGAAATAAATGGCACTGGAGGATTACAAGTCCGACGCATCAGCCGCAAACTGCAACTGCCGATATCATTGACAATCGTCGGTGAATTCGGTGCAAAATTTAGCCAGATTGTACTTCCTTCGAAACGGTGCTAGCAGAGCTTATGTATGGTCTCATAATTGTGGTTCAAACAAACAAAAAAGATAGAAAATAAGCACAATTGAGCCCAACTCCATGTAAATGGAGAGCAGAACAAAAGCGGCGGCCAAAATTCAATGACCTGGTTTAGGGTTAGAGTTAGGGAGGTTAAGGTTAAAGCTGGCACGCGGGGATAGGTGTCTCCCGGAA